GTGATCGCCACCTTGGTGCCTGCTCCTGCTGCCGCTCCTGCCCCAGCTCCTACTTCTCCCCCTAGCACCCTCCCCATAGCCACTAAGGGCCTCACACACAAGGCAGTGGGATCACCAGAGCCAGGTGCTACTCCCAGTCCCAGCCCTGAGGAGTATGTCACTGGGGTCCTTGTGAGAAATCTTCCCTCAGGGCCTCCTGGATGGCAGTGGTGCACAGCTGCTCAAAGGCCCTGCCGATCTGGTCCACCTCTGCCCTCAACCCTGGGAGGAATATCTCCCCCCGGGTTTCACAAATATTGTGAAGGACACAACACGCTGCCACCACTTGGGGGATGTTCCACTCCCTGACATCCAGGTGGCTGAGGTGGCAATGGAACCTCCCCTTGAGATGCTCAAAGGCTCCCTCAACAACAATATGGGCCCAGCTAGGCCTGGCATTAAAACATTTCTTGGTGGGGTCAAGGTGTCCAGAGTAAGGTTTCATGAGCCAGGGGTGCAGAGGGTAGGCTGCACCCCTTACAATACAGATAGGCATGTCCGTGTTCCTGACCCTGATGGTGTGGTCAGGGAAAATGGTGCTGGCGTGCCACTTCTGGAAGATGTTGGAGTTTTGAAAGACATGCGTTGCGCACCTTCCCCGACCACTCAATGTAGATATCCATGAACTGGCCACAGTGTTCGACAAGGGCGTGGTTGATTTATTTGGCTGCCCCGTGGTTGGGGGCCTGGATGGGGATGTGAATGCTGTCAATAGCCCCCACCCCGCACATGGGGAAGCCCATGGCAGCAAATCCGGTGATGATGGGGTCCCACATCACCCAGGTTGATGATCCTGCGCAGTAGGACTGTGTTGTTGACCCACACCACCTGTGGAAGGAAACAAACAGAGAATCACAGGGGTGCCAGGGCCCTCGGGAGGTCCACGAGCCCACCACCCCCTTCCCCTCCACACACCAGGAGCAACCCCCATCAGGGCTTTGTGAAGGGGCTTCCACCACCACCACCACCACCATCACCCTTCTCTAGGGAACCCCATTCCAGCATTTCTCCCCCCCCTCCTGGGACAAGAGCCTGAGAGCACCGTACCTGCATGAGCACAGCCCCGATGGTCGATCTCCCCATGCCAAACTGGTTCCCAACAGCTCGGCAGTTGTCAGGTGTGACGAGCTTCCAGATGGTAATGGTGACACGCTTCTGGAGGGAGATGGCGGGTCGCATGTAGCTGTCCCGTCACCTGAGGGCAGGGGGTGAGCCACTCTCATAGCTCCAGAAAGGCGTTCTTCTGCATGCGGAAATTCTGGAGCTACTGCTAGTCGTCCCACCTCTCCAAAATGATCCCACCAGTTGGAACTGGTGTGCATATACCAGAAGCGGTGGTACACTGTGTGCAGGGGAGAGCGGGAGGGATCGTACTGCATTAGCTGCATCCGCAGAGAGATGAGGAAGTTCCCCACAAGGAGCTGGGTGTTGTGTTCCTGCAGGGCCTGGAAGGCATCCAGCAGAAAGAGCTGCAGGAGGTGCAGCACAACCTGCAAGAACCATCGACTGCTGGGAGGCAGAGCTGACTCCTCCACAAGGGCAACCAGAGCAGGCAGTGAAAAGGCTTTGCTGTCCCTTAATGAGGTAGGCAAAGGTGAAGTACCTGAGACATGGCTATACAGGGGGGTCCCATTAAGCTTGAGCCTCAGATAGCCTCAGGCAGGAGCTCCAGGAAGTAACTGTTGTCCTGATGCCTTGCCTGAAGTGCTTCCGGGTGGCCTTAAATGAGATTCAGCATCCAATAAGCGTGGACGCTCTATTTCAAAATAACTCAGTTCTATCTCGATGGGCATTTGCTGTGTAGACACTCTATTTCAAAATAAGCCATTTCGGAGTATTTCTTCTGGAATAACTTATTCTGAAATAAGTGTGCAGTGTAGACATGCCCTGACTGTACAGAGCAGACTCCAAGTTATGGTGTGTCATTGTTTTAACAGCCTCCACTACTAGGGAATTCAGAGCTGGGTGAATAAAAAGAAAGTGTGAGTCTCTAGTTGGAACTGTTTTTATCCTCTTTCTTGAAGGCAGGCAGTGTGGTAGTAGGGCTTTGCCAAATCATTTGGGCAGGCTCCACAATAGCTTCACTGACTGTAAGGGCAATCTTCATAGATGTGGAAGAGTATAAAATACCTAGGCGTTTATGGTGCGACTCCTGAATTTCCTTGAAGAGAGAGTTTGCGACTTGTCAGCAATCCATATATCAGATCCTGGAAATGCCTGAAGTGGGGCATAGTGCCATAGGAAGTGGGGAGGCAGAACAGCTTCATCAGAATAGCCTCCTGACACAGGGAGTCCGACATTCCTGAGCAAAACTGGCAAAAATGTAACCCCTAGAAGGGGAACTTTCTTAACTATACAACTACCTCTGAATAAAAAGGGTTTGTTTTTTAAAAAAAGATAAAATGAAGAGAACAACTGAAACACTGTAAGGTAGGTAACTATTTGAGAAAAAGCTAAATATTACTGAAGACACACATTAGTATGCTCCACGTCAGGCCAAAGGTGGCTAATAAGGAACTGAGGATGATCTGTCCACACAGCCCCAAATAGCCTCCGCATGGGGCACAAGGATGTGTTGGGTGCATTCATAGGCCAAACGGGTACAGCTAGCAAAAATCTCCATCAAAGGTGCAAAGGCACCCAAAGTGGAGTGCACACAGGGATGCTGCTCTAAGAAAAACTTGACACTTCTGCATCAGACACTAAATCATTTAACACCTTTCCCCTTCTTGTCCCTAAAATTATGAGTGAAATTCTGCTTTCCAATTTCAAGCAGAGCTAAGATTAAATGACTACTTGCACAGAACGTAATCCAAAGACCATCAATGGCAGCACTCAAATGGAGCTGCTGCCAGACACAAAACACAATCTTTAGGCCACAACAACTTTTTTAAAGGTTTTGACAATGGAGTAAGACTTAAAACACCTGGAATTAATATGCAAATTCCCATCTGAACTGGGAATGTCTCTCTCATTACAATAAATAATTTTTCACTTTAGGTATTCTCACCTTGTTATCCACATCCACCCTGATTGAACTAGCTCTGATGTAACACTCCCATCTCTGTATCCCTAACTATCTGTTTCTTTTACGTCATGCATCTGATGAAGTGAGCTGCAAGTCATGAAAGCTTATGCCATAATGAAATTGTTAGTCTTTAAAGGTGCCACCAGCTTCTTTGTTGTTTAAACAAAACAAGCTTAACAAATGGATGTGGAATTCCAGGAAACATTTAAAAATATGAATGTTTAAATGAAAAAATGCACAAGTTATCCATGCAACAGTATTGATGTCAACCTAAAAAGGTTGACAGAAAGTGTGTTAACATAGTCTCTATCAAGGAGGGGACCAGTAAAGGTGAAATGAAGGCGAGAGTCAACACACTATTGCCTAGCTATGTTAGGCATTACCAAGGTGCCTACCACCTTGATTTACGAGTTTACCAGAACAAAGAACTTGCATTTAACTTCTGGTTCGTGGACCTGTTGAAGCACAGATGCAAATGCAAAGAAAGAATTCAAACTCAGGAATAATAGAATCAGACAACAAATCCTTTAACAGACTCCTTTTTTTATTAAAAAATGTTCTAACAACAACAGGATTTTGGCATATTCAAAGTTCTCCCCCCTCCTCCAACTACAATATCCCACAATTTAGTGGGAGAAGTACAGAGCCAACTTTGCTTGTGTTACTCTTGCTATGATTGGGCAACTGTGAATTTTTCCCTTGAGATTTAAAGTCATCTTTACATTTTTAGTCTGCTCCCATAGCTAGAGATAGGGGAGACAGACATAAGAGATATTTACTGTTTTAAAAAAAAAAGTACAGAGGGGTTAGAGCAGCAAGATCCAAGTTTTGTTAAATAAGGCTAAGAAAGTTGTGAGGGTTTTTTGGTTCAAAGACTGAGGGGACAGTTTAAGAGCAGTGGCCACATTAAGTACCATTAAAAAACACAAACAAATTTAAGTGGCACTGTAACACTGAACGCCACATCGCAACGCCACTCACTCAAATTTGGCTCATCCACCCCTCTGTCAAGAAAGAGGGGCACCCAGGCCAAATATGAGAGAACAACATTGCTACTTGGCACATAGGGATCACAATACCATTTATTTTGCCAAAATAATACAAAGTTGCAGTGTATGTAAGTAAGTAGGTAAAAATTCTACATCGAAATTTATAATCTGAAGATGAGCTATGAAAAATATTAATACAAATCTAAAATGAAAATGTTTTAGAACTTACGTATATGAAGATAAACTGCTGTCATAAGTTGACACTACACCATAATTTTCTTCATTGTAACGAAACATGTCATTGGGATCCCATCCATTAGACTAGAAGAAAATGAGGTTTTATTTTTTTCAAAATGACACTGGAAACATTTCCCTAACAGTTATAGCTGTGGGCAGAAATTTTAAACTTTTGCCCTTACTCCTAGATTTATCAGATAATGAAATCATAAACTGAAAACTTAAAATTTTAAATGCAGTATCATATATTTTACTGTCAAAATCCAGCATTGCATCTAGTGTCCTGTCATTCCCATTTGGTACTCTATGAGGTACTACCAACAATGCTTTGATTTCTTTTCAGAAAGTTTTTCTGAAATACAGAATAGTGTTCCTCCCTGTGTCAAATACTGGAACTTTTCAAATGCACTACCAACACAAGTATCTAACAGGAGGATCCTCCTTGATCTCAAACAAAAACAGAATAATCTTCCCATTTCGTGACCTATTTGAATATTAGTATTCATAAGGTAAGTGATCTCCACAACATTGCAAAAGAGGAGGTTACTCACCATGATAGTAACTGACGTTCTTCGAGATGAGTGTTCCCGTGGGTGCTCCACATTAGGTCAGTGCACTGCCACTGAGCCTTAGATTGGAGATTTCAGAGCAATGAAATTGGAGATTTTGCAGAGCAATCTGCAGCCATGCATTCTTAGGTGGCAGGCATCATGCATGTGCAAGCCCCGCCCCGCTCCTCAGTTCCTTCTCTACCCCAGAACGTCTATGAGAAGACCAGAATCCAGAAATAGAGGAGAGGGTTGTGGAGCACCCACGGGTACACTCATCTTGAAGAACATCAGTTACTATCGAGGTGAGTAACCTCCTCTTCGAGAGAGAGAGAGAGAGAGGCGCACACACACACACACACACACACACACGTCCTCATGGGTGCTCCACATTAGGGGACTAAAAAGCTATTTCTGGTTAGGGAGGTAGCGACTTCGGATCTGGCAGAAATGCGGTGGAAAGACCACCTTAGCAAGTTTCAGGTTGGAGAGAGATCCCTGTTTAAGGGTGTAGTGCTTTGCAAAAGTGTGGTCAGACGACCACGTAGCAGTTGCACAAATGTTTCTTATGGGTACCTTTGTGGAGGAATGCTATTGAGGTAGCCATGGCTCTGGTTCAATGTGCCATTATGCTGTCTGGAGGGGGTACCTCTGATTGGGAGTAACAGAGCTTAATACATTCCGAAATCCAGTGGGAGAGTCTCTGTGATGAGAGGGCCTGGCACTTATTGTGGTTTAGTATCGACACGAAGGGTCTCGGAGACGCTCGGAAAGGTTTAGTTAGTTGCAGGTAAAAAGAGAGCGCTAGAGCACTCTCAGGGTATGTCTACACTAGCCACCCTCGCTCGAACTAGGGTGGCTAATGTAGTCATTCGAACTTGCAAATGAAGCCCGGGATGAAAATATCCCAGGCCTTATTTGCATGTTCCCGGGCGCTGCCATTTTTAAATGCCCAGTAGTTCGAACTCCCTGCCCACGGCTACACGCAGCACGGGTTAGGTAGTTTGAACTAAAGCCCCTAATTCGGACTACCGTTACTCCTCATCGCAGTAACAAACTCCTAGTTCGAACTAGGGTGGCTAGTGTAGACATACCCTGATAGAATCATAGAGCTGGAAGAAACCTCAGGAGGTCATCAAGTCCAGCCCCCTGCCCAAGGCAGGACCAATCCCAACTAAATCAACCCAGCCAAGGCTTTGTCAAGCCAAGACTTAAAACCCTCTACGGATGGAGATTCCACCACCTCCCTAGGTAACCCATTCCAGGGCTTCACCACCCTCCTAGGGAAATAGTTCTTCCTAATATTCAACCTAGACCTCTCTCACTGCAACTTGAGACCACTGCTTCTCATTCTACCCTTCATCACTACTGTGAACAGCCTCTCTCCATCCTCTTTGGAACCTCCCTTCAGGCAGTTGAA